ACCTAACATGGTCTATTATCTGACAAATAGCTTGATAACTAGGAATAAGACAAAGTGTTTGATGTTTGCACATTTTTAGAGCAATTTCGATACAGAAATAAAAGAAACAAATTTTTTATAATAATAATTTAGGGCAACAGCTTATTATTTAAAATGAGAAATATCATCTGCTTCTTTTAAATTTATTCTTCTTTCAAAACTTTGCATGTAAACAAGCTGTGGATTGAAGGATATGCTTTTGCGCTTTCTGAAAAGATCTCGCTTATAAACAAACTGAGGAATACGTTTTTGCGCTTTTCCAAGAGAAATATTCCTATTCGATGATTCATAAACTTTGTGAAACAATCATGACTTCTACATGGAAGATGGAAGAAACCTTTAAACGAATACCTGAAAAGGTAAGTATTATTTCAAATGTTTCTAAAGTTTAGTCTTTGGTATTAGGAAAATCTTCGACGACACAGAAATCTATTACAGAGTCTTTCACTACACCTGTAGCAACAACAAAAAATAAGAAACTGAGATTTAGAACTTAAAGCTAAAACCTTTGATGTAGCATGGGTTTACTTGAAATGACTGCAATTATATAAAAGGTTTATTTATTATCGAAAATGAATGCAAAAAAATTAACACACCAGTTTCTTCAACGCAACGTTTCAGGGCGCAGGATTCTCTTTACCATGAGAAATTTAAAATAATAAAAAATGGAAAAAAATATTAACATAAACTCAACGTACTACCAAGACAAAGATTTATGTCTGATATTTACAGAAGAAATTCCATTTCATTATCGCAATAGCTTTCAAAGAGTGAAATGTCATCAAGTTAAAGCAACATGTCATACTTCGAAAAGTACCACTTCATTCATTGAATGAATAAAGTCTGATACAGGTATTGCATATATAGATTTTCAACGTTTCCTCCTGTTTAGCCTATGGGCTATTATGTCTATATCTCTTGAAAAGAGCTGTTTCTAAGCATAAATCCACCACGATAACAGCAAAAATCAGCCTTATATGCGCAAATTTTATTTAAGGTTTATTAAGGAAATTTAAGGTTTGAATAAAAATTTGCAAATATAACGCTGATTTTTGTTGTTTGGTTTCTAAATTAGTCACACTTTATATCTTTCCTTTATCAAAAAAGACCCTTTTGAAACTTATCTAGCAACTATAATTCGACACATTAGGAATGTTTCTTATGTTTATAATTCAATTAGCATTCAACACATTAAAATCAATAATTTCAACAAAAATAAATGCTTATTGATTGCGGCATACATCGGAATCATGTTTAAACAGAAAAATTTGAGAATGAGAGCAACTGTCAAGTAATTTGTTGAATGAATAGTTGTAATTAGTGTTTGTTCCCCCTTTTTTCTAGCCGTACATGCCAGAAGACATTTCTTATTTACGAAGTAATATCAAGTCAGATTCAAAGAAGACATTTAAGGCCGAATAAAAGTGGCCTGAATTCTGGATATCAGATTATTACACAAAAAATCTTCATACAGCACGTTAATGCTGTGTCGAATTACGAATATCGCATTGAATAAAATTACCCTTTTGAGACTTAACAAAAAAACTGCAGTTACTGTAATTCGCCTACCAAACACATATCATGTATAGCAACGTGATGCTTTTATGTAACTGTATGTAAGTAACTAATAAATTGTCATAAAATGAAGTAAAGCTTAAATAATTTCATGATTTTCCTTTAAATGTGAATGTAGTAAATTTGGTGATATAATGAGGAAAGAATTTCTATAAAACGATCATCATTTAGAATACTATAAATATCTTATCGTGCTCCATTTGAGAAGTAAAATGTAAATAATCTTGATAAATTAGAAATATATAATATAAAAATAACTGCAAAATCGACCTAAATTGAAAGTTAAGAGTAAGTAATTGTACTTACCGTAAGTACTTACATCAGTCGATCTCTAAACGTAAAGAATCGATCGCAAAATCAAATCTTGAATTAAAAGCGCGTTCAAAAATACAAGGCTTAAATTTTTTGTATAATTTAACCCTTAAATTAGCAAATGGGGAAAACATATATTGCTTGTAAGCGATCGTGCCATAAAGGGTAAAGTATAAGTTAATTACCTAAATGACATAGGTTACTGCTGTTTTTATTACATATATTCTGCAGGAAGTATGTAATAAAAACAGTATATATTAAATCCAAACGTTTTGTTTCTGCGAAATTACATTTTGCAGAAACAAAACGTTGGAACAAAAATCATTTATAAATAAGCTTTTTTTATAACAAATAGAACGCACATTTTATTTCAGATATCAATCAAAAGGTAACTTCAGAAACAAAGCGGAAAATAAGTTTTATTTGAAATTTTATTGCTTTTAATAATCTTTTGACGTTGAAATTCATTCCCACTATTTAATTCTCGTATTTGTGATTTGGTCGGCTTATATTTATATGGTCACGTAGGTGCTTTGGAGTGAGAGTTTCCCCGTATTCAATTTATACATCTGACATTATTAAATTCGATAAATTACGTACTAAAACCAAACCTTGACATATGCGTGAAAACGCGTACCTCGCGTTAAGTCTTGCGATAAACATAAAGTAATAATCTGGTTAAGGTCAGTATATACATTATATTCGGCAATGTAGCACTGCTACGTGATTTTCCAAAGCATCTAAATGCTGTCAGTTTTGCTACAAAGATCAAATTGAACACCTAATTTTAACTGCTATTCCTTCTTTTTGAGTTGAGAGTTTTTTTCAAACCAATCTTGAATTCAAAGATTTTAAACCTCCTCTGTTAGCTTGGTTAATAGTTGGTTATTTGAATATGGCAAAGTACGCGAAGGTGCCTGCCTAAGGGAAAGGATACTTTTGCAGACGACTTTCTAAGAAACACTGACTATTGATATTACACATGAAAAAACAACAGAAACCATCTATGCAGCCAATCCGTTCATCTAGTTTACAACTCGAGACGAACTACCAGTAGACCTCTCGGCCATTCGTTGGACCCCTTTTTTGTTAGCAATGGATGAATTCCATATCTATTGAAATAATGCTACTTGAAGAGATTTCTCTACCTTGAAGTTTAATCTAATCATTTTGTGCACTCGTAATCTCGGAGCGCTGAAGAAATAAAATTTATGTCTAGGAATTTCTCTCATATAAACAGAAAATTTTCTGACATCATCATTTCCCTTTCGAGCTGAGTTAGATGTTAAATCAAGTTCGTTATAGTACCAAGGAACAGAAGTCATTTCCTTGCAGTGTATCTGAGAATATGAAAGAAAAATTCGAAAACTTTCAAAGCAAGTTCGCGAACAAATTTAATTTTCTTCAGATATTTCAAGAAAAGGCCAGCAGCAAAATGCATTTGTGATAGGCATTCCCATTGGAATTCTCTTTTCAGAAAGTAATAAAGCTATAATATTTGAAGAAAAATATATAATATCCTTTATCAGAGCTTGGAAAAAGTTTAGAACTGCATACTATTTTTCAGGAAAGTGAAGATAATTATGATAGCGTAATATCATTCGCATTAGTTTTACTACATTAAGTAATTCATATTTAATTTATATTAGTCAGCCGTATATTACCTTAAGGGATTAAGGAACTTCAAATAATTCAAACAATCAAATTTTTAAATATTTTTAATGTTAAAAATCCATGCCTCATACGCGTTTAAAGAAAACCTTGACAATGCAAAAATTCCTTAAAGAACAAAAATTAAAAAATTTTGTTCGAAGCTTTTGCCATTTAAAGTTCAAGACGAATTTATATTGAATTTGCATTCGAGGAATTTCGTCGTATTAAATGCAATGAACTGCATGTAAAATGCTTCGTGTAATAATTTTGTTTAAATCTAAGCTTTGTAATGAATCTAATTTATTATAATGTGCTTACAAGATTGCAAGGCAATTTTTTAAAATTAAGATTTCATAAAAATGATTTTATGTGTACGGTTTTCTCTGAAATGTCTGGTTAGAATTTCAAGATATTTTGATTATGTAATTACTGTACCTGCATTGTAAAAGGCTAGTCAAATTTGAAAATGCATGAAAATTTTGACTTCTCACTTTTCATTGTTTCATTTAAAATTATGGTCATTAAGAATGCAATGTTACTTAAATACGTACTGATGCATGGTTAAGAACAAATGCTCATAAATGCTGTTTTATATTCCTTTATTAATATTAAGGAACCAATAATGTGCATTTACAGGATTTTTGAAGATAGTTACATTTTAAAACTAAGATTTCTCAAAATTTCTGATTCTGCTTGCTTGCATATTTTCTCCAAAACCATTGCTCAAAATTTTAAGAAATCTATCGAGCATAAAATCTATATGATTGTAAAATGACCAATTATTGTGCTTCTTGCTTAAAAATTGTAGAAATTACTTCTAATTTGACGTTTATTTTTCAAAAATAAAAATATATTATTCTTTAGGATAATATACATTAGTTATTTTAAAGACAGATCCTTATAACTGCGTATTATTTTTCCAATTTGGAAAAAAATCTGCTCAGAATAGTCATTTGTTTATACATTATGCTGCATGCACTACGTATTACAATTTATGTTGATGACGAAGAAGGAATTATGTTTTCATTTTACTTAAAATATTTTCATACCTGGGACAGAAAGTAAAAGATCAAATACAGTATCAAGGATATCAAAATAAGAATGCAAACTTTTGCGATATATTTAAGATACTAAATTTTAAGTCGTGTTATGTTTTTAGCATAAGAGGTTAAAGGTGACTATCCCTCTAAAGAATTTTAAATTAGGTTTATTACTTGGAATTTTAATGGATATATTTTAAAGGTACTTGGCCGTTTAAAAATGAATTTAATTTCTCATTTTTGCCTCGTTTTTACTATTTTGGCAATTAAAACTATTCTATTAATGCTAATAAATAAATTTAAAATAAGGAGTTATATTTAAAAGAAAGTATTTTTAAAACATTCACATTACTTAGATATATAAAATAGACAATTGCTTACCTTATCTTTAATGGCTAAAAATTCACGGGAAAGGCACTGAGAATAGTCTGGCTCTCCCCACATAGCTTCACTGTCTTTCTTTAGATTACAATGTCTTATTACTTCGCCTAAGGAAAAACGAAATTTGAATAAGCCTACCACAATTAAAGAAAGGATAGCATTACTAATATTCTGGTTACTGTATAATACGGTAAAGAAAATGCATAGACTTTGCGAATTCTTAGAAGCCTATAACAAAAGACAAACACTCCGTAGTCTAAAAGATATACTTCTAGCATGAAAAAAAATTTAATAGTCAGCTTGCAAAAAAGGCGTTACTCATGTCACGATATTGGGAGTTATAATGCGGAATGGTGTATGATTTAACTGATTTCGGAAAAGACCCAACGGAAAATTTGCGAATTTCACATAATTGGAATATTTGATCGGGAACATTTTTACTTAAAATGTCCGATGATTGCTGAGAGAAGCAGAAATAAAGGGTAGTGAAAGATCTTCATGCGGATAGAAACAAATAGACTGTCACCAATAACAACTGTGGAGAATTATAAGCATTCATGCACCAGTTTGACAAACAGCCGCGGAACAAAATAGCAGAAAGTTGGCCTCGATCGGTATCAGTATAGTAATTATTGATGATGGCAGCTGTATTGTTTGGTCCAAATCCGAATAAGAGATCTGATGGTAGGGAAAGAGAGGTAAATATAGAAGTGGTCGCGACACCAAATATTAACGATTGGTTGTACAGTTATAGTTCCATCATACTAACTTCGCAATTCCGCAGTTTTGAGAGAGAACATTCCGGGGCTGGCATCTGAACATCTCCCATCTCTTTACCCCTGCTAACCTTGACAGGACTTTAGGCTCGGTGTGTATTTTGAGTGCTCCGTTGCTGCAGAGACACTATACACTTACAAACACCTATGCCTTCTCCAGATTCGAACCGGGTCCATCAGTACAACAGTCAGCGTCCCAAACCACTGTACCGGCTGGGCGACTGGGAAAGAAGAGGGAGTCCATCATGTACTCCTTCTGGGTATTCTTCAACATAATAAGGATGAGAGCTTTCCATTCTTGCTGGTTTAAAAATTGGCCGCACCCTGTGCAATGCTTTCAGAAATGTGACAACTCAATGACCAATGTTACTGGTCACTTTTATGAATGTATTAGGTTGAAAGTGTCCAGACATTTGAAACAACAACAATCAGTAGTAATCAGAAAAACATTTCTGATTCTACAACTCGCAAGACAGAGTTACGCATTAAATTTTGCAAATAGCAAAATCATCTTCAAACTCCAAACATTTATTGCTCATGCAAAAAAAAAAAAAAAAAAAAAAAAAAATGACCAAGATAATCAAGGTAACACCGAAAAGAGAACCGGTTTCCAACGCAGATTAAATTAATAAAACCTGATTCGTGCGGTCTGCTAATTGTAAAACTTATAATGAGCTGAGGCTACATCTTCCAGGCCTTTGGTTTAATTAATTTATAATAAATAGCCTAAATGTTAATGTTAACACTTTAATGATTTAGACCTTGAAAGGTCCGACCCGCCGCCTCTGCCCGATAACTTTAATAGTATGTTGAGAAACACACAATTTTGAAGCTTGGACTTTACAGTTCCAAAATGTTTGTTTCCCCCACACCCAAACCATCAACCATTGCAACAAAAGCCTATTTCCTTAAAAAAAAAAAATACTACAAGGAACGAACAGCAAACTAAATGGCCAACTTAACATATTCCCTTCACACTTCACTTCACACTTCACTCCAATGTCAGATCTATTAGCGACGGTCTGGTTTCGCAGTGCTAATTGCTAATGTAATATATAATGATATGAGGCATATTATCTTCCAAGGCCTTTGGTTAATTAATTTAATTATTTATAATTAAATATCTGTTAAATGTTTGGGGTTAATTTAACGCGATTTATGATGACTATGTCCTTCTATAATATCCTCTGCACTTAAACACTTTCCCTGATAGACGACCTACATTGAGAGGAATGATGTCTTATTGAAGCTTGGACTGACAAACAGTTTCAGAAGCGCAAAGTGATTTTGAAGTTTTCCCCCAAATTCCCGTGTCCAAGACACGCCAGATAAACTTGAAAGAGATATTTGCAACAAAGAGCCTTCTCCGGCAATTATATGCCGGCAATACATACTTTATCAGCATGGGAACGTAAAAAAGTTTTTATTGTAACTTAATGTGTTTCAACTTCCTTCACACTATTCTTGGCATAACAAATTTGAAATAAGTGTAGAAAAACAAAGATCTGTTATCTTAAACTGTGGTTTCAGGATAATAACTTCGTCGAAGCACAGGGTTCGGATTTTAATATTTAAATGCATTAAAATGTTTTTAAATGAGTTCAACTATGTAGATTTTCATCATATATTGTTCATCATTATATAAATTCAGAAATCAATACAGGAACATCTTTTAAAATATTGATTTATATGTTATTTAAAACATATGCAATAATATATGCTACTAAAAAATAAACTGAAAAACGACAACTTTTACCAGTGTATCCTTTGGGACAAAACTCTATGTCTTCAGAATTTGCGGCTGTTACAGACCAATTTACTTCCATGTATTTCTCAGCTGGACATGTTGGGGTACTTCCTGTGAAAAGTAAATAACAAATACTAACATATTTTAATACACATTTTGCCTTTTTAATATTTTTGAAAGTATTAAAATTTTTTAAATCACAATTACACATTTGAAACTACGTTTTCGGTTTAAACACTTTAAAATGCATGGTTTTATGAGGTTAGGCAAATGGAACTAAAGGTAATTAATACTATGTTTCAGAGTATTGGAATAACAGTCTTGTTACACGGATTGCTTATCAGACATTACTGAATTTTTCCGTGAGAGGACACCATGTGTTAGACCATTTCTATGGAAAAGTACACTGCTGGCCAACCAAATTGCGACACCAAGAAAGACAAGAGATATCACAACAAAATTTATTTAGTAGATAACATGTTGACCAAGTATCAATTGATTAAATTTATAGATTTATGTGAAGCGTGGTTCCTTCCAGAATCAATAGCCAGAGTAGCCACCCATTGTTGGAGATCACGGCTTCCACACGCCTCGGCATTGATTCAAAGACACTTTGGATGTGTTCTTAGGGTACAGCAGACCAAGAAGTTTTCACACTTTGCCAAACTTGATCTGGTGTGGCAGCTTGAGATGTAATCTGGGTCAATCGCTCAGCAAGCATGGAACACATGTTTTCTATCGGCGAAGGATCCGGAGAGCGAGTCGGCCAGGGAATCAATTAAATCTGGCGATTGACGAAGAACACTTGGACAGTGTGTGCCACGTGTAGTCGCGCATTATCCTGTTGAAATATGGCTGTGGGCAAGCCCTGAAGGTAAGAAAGGACAACTGGCTTCAATACCTCGAAGATGTAGCGTTGGCTGTTTAAAGTACCGGCAATGAGTATTGGAGGAGTGCAAGAGTGATATCCAATACCGCCCCATACCATAATACCCGGTGCAGGACCAATGTGGCGGTGCATAACGCAGCTGTTCAGCATCCTCTCTCCGCGGTGTATCCAGACTCGAATCCGACCATCGTGCTGTTGCAGACAGAAGAGTGACTCGTCAGTAAAGGCAATTTCCTGCCATTCTGCCTTCCACATCCTTCTTTCATCGCACCATTGGCGGCGGAGACGTTTGTGGTTCTGCGTCAAGGGTAGACGAAGCAATGGACGTCTTGCGGACAGACCACTCTGCTGTAAACGGCGTCGAATGGTATGCGCATACACTGGAATACTCCTTACAGACTGAATGTGCTGTGCTATGGTTCGTGATGTGACTGAGCGATCCGTCACTGCCATGCGCACAATGTTCCTGTCATCACGTGAAATGGTGCACTGAGGTGGATGTGATCGAACACGTCGGTCCGTCGTACCCTCCTGCATCCAACGGTCACATACCCGCATTACAGCTGTTTGGTTTCATCCAACACGACTACCGATTTCCTTGAAAGGTTATCCACACTTTCGCTAGGCCACTATCTTTCCTCTGTCGAACTCGGATACTTGATCAGACGATGATCGCTGTTTACTACGAGGCATAACTGATCGTTTTTTGAAAAAACCACAAGAAAAAAACAATTGCCGAACTTGAAATCGTCGAAACCTCCAAGCCTTAAATAGCGCTTTAAAGTGGTACCTCAGGCGCGCGTGATGTACGTCTGCGTTGATATTCTAATCATTTGCATATCTCACCTCCGCTAATGCATGTTGTAAATTTCATGTTATTTGCATGCTTCCTTCAGGGTGTTGCATTTACGGTGGCCAGCAGTGTATAAAAACAAAAGTACATTGTAGCACTACATTTTATTCTGGTTTATATGAATTCATGTGGTGAGGATTGAATGAATACTAAAACCCATTTGAACGAATTTTAGCTGATTTTTTTATTTTAGTTACGATTATTCATCTTTAAGTTAAATCCATTGTTTTATTTCTTGTAATTCTTCTCGTTTTGAAATTATGTATTGCTAACAAAATGTTTTCTAAGTTGATCATCATATCTTAATTTCTTGTTTATTGAAGTAACTAATTTAACAGAGATATTTTTGATGCTCCGAAAAAATTTAACTCCATGTTGGCTTATACTGAAAACAATGTCTCTTATTCGTTTAAAAAATAACGATGCTTTTTCATTAAACTAAATGTTTTAAGAAAGTTTAAATATTATCCTCAATTTTGGATTTCCTTCACAATTTTTAGAATGTAAATCATCTTTCAGATAAATCATTCAGAATGTACAGGTAACATTCAATTTCTCATGCATTTATAATACAAAATGAAAATATAATAGAAAACATTAAATCGAAAATTCCTAATTACGACAGATGTTAACAAAGGGAAAGTAATGGAATATTTAAGAATCAAGGAAGAGTTGTAATGTAAGATAACACAAGAATTCTTGAAAGCCTAATGATGTAATAAATAATGTACAAAGAGCAAACACACTGTATTCATCTGCAAGGAAATGAGGTATAATATTTTATAATTTATAAAGAAATGGCTAATAATCTAGGGAAAAGTTAAGGTAATCTTCTGTGCTCTGGGAAAATCATAGAAGTCCTGAATTTCTGAAAAGAAGATCAATAGATTGGATTACTCTGTACTAGAACATACTTTCGCGAGCACAAAGTACTTCTGCATATCTTATGAGAGAAACAACTAGGGAGTCACCATAACATCGGATAGAACGGTTAGGGACACATTACAAGGAATAACTAACGAGAAGGCTTATAACCAAGGGAATGACGTAGAGAGCACACTTTTGATAAAAACATAGAACTCATCAGCTCCGTAACTTAAAGGAGAACAACAGTAAATCAAAATTTATGAAGATGAATTCTTTCTTTAATAAATTACATTTCGTATTTTAGCAATTGAGGACTAACTATAAATAATATGATAGCTGAAATTTCGTATTTTTAACTAAAATAATGGAAAGCAAATTAGCTAAACTACTAGTTATATTCATTAACATTTTAAACCATAATGAAATAATTTAATACTGTACACCAAATTGGGTCATTAATAACAAATAAGTAATTAAAATGCAATCTTGTGACTATTCGGACCGAATCGTTTATTCCTTATTACTTGTTGGATGAAAATCAATATACATATTTTAACTATGCTTAGTTCTACGTTACTATGTTATTCGCTTCGTAACTACGTTAAAAAAGTTATGTATAGCAAATAAGATACCATATTTGTAAGGTATAACGAAAATTCAGATGTTTAGCAAATGCTTAAATATTTATCACATTTATAAACTGAAAAGTAGTAAATAACATCCTTAAACTAAAAACGAGTTTCACTGTATTCTCGAATCGGGTTCCTTACCAAATACTTTAAGGTTTATTTATGTTAATTAGCCAGTTATTTTATGATCCAAATCTGTAGTATCACTTCTTTCTTTCCATTCTCCTGCCAGAATGCAAAATAGCTCTTGTGTATTTAAGTGAGGTTTTGAGATTGTTTTAATCAGAGCGTGTTCTGCCTGCTGAAGACCACGTTACTGATGTTATGATAAGCACTACGGCGTTTCTTTATTCTCGCCGATAGAGCAGTCACGCCGGTGTAGGTTAAGAACCAACTTCCGTGTAGCTTTTCGTTAATAGCTACTTAGATATAGTTCAATTTAAAATTTTATTTTGACTTCATGACCAAAATGCTGGCTGATTTCCAGGCACCTGGTGGTCCTTCAGTTTAACATACTTAGTTTACTCAACACACTCAAATAACATACTTAAATAATAGGTTTTTTTTTTTTTTTTTTTTTTTTTTTTTTTTTTTTTTAACACTCTTCATATGTTTCAGTTTGCTCACCTAGAAACAGCAGTAAATTGCTTAAGTAGAAGTCTTGATGTAGTGTATGATACCAAAACACGTAAAACTCTACATTCTGAAATAAGATGTTTGTTTTTTAACTAAATCCCTTTTTATTTTGCACTTCTGCAATTTTTTTAGTACTCATAGGGCAGCTCGACAGTCGCAAAAATACTTTCCTTGTTGGTTAATCTTCAGATGGGAATATACGGATGGTTTGGTTTGGTTTATTTAATTATGGCAAAGCACACTCTGGCTATCTGCCTAAGGGGAGGAATGCCCTCGTGGAAGACAAGGGAAACTAGCTCGTATGAACATTACACATAGAGAAAACCACGAAAACGCCCATGCAGGCAGCCCGTTCGCGGGATTCGAATCTCGGACCGAACTACCAGTGTTCAGCGACTTTACCGCTCGGCCGCTGGTGGGCCGAATATACGGATGGATTGAACGTCATTACAGATGTTTAGTTAGTACTCGCTACAATCTTCTTCATTTAGTATTGAAAGAAGCAACCATATTTTGATTATTGTACTCTTTATAACTGTAGGCAAATAAATATTATACCAAAAGTCACCGAAAATGTACCCCTAATTAAAGATTAACCACTTTTGTTAGCATTTGAATAATTTTTTTTTTTATCTGCAGTAAAACAGGAAATCGTCATCTTTTTCAGTCATTTTTATCTACGTTGAGGAAAACATCATGAAAAACAAAATTCTTTTCCTAGCACCTCGATACAAATAAATTTGATTGAACCAATTATTGTCTTTAAAATGATGATTTATCAAATGACGAAATCAAAAAGTGCTTTAAATCCGTGATATCTCAGCATAAAAGCAGAAACCAAGAGAATGATCAACCGCAGTACAACATGAGTGTCTTTGCAAATATATGTATAAAATAATAAAAGCAAGGAAAAGCCGGAACATTTTCATGCGTAATTAGATATATATTGAAGAATTCTGGTTGTGCAGTATGTTAATATATTGACTTGATAATATCTAAAGAACTTGGCAGTCGAGGCAGTTTTAACTCCATTTTTATTTTCCAATTGATATTTGTGGCCACAGTGCAATTGGCACTCGGGTTGTGCCGATTCAAAAACATTTACATTTTTGATATTATTGCAATAAGAAGCAACATAGCAAAATTATGTCCAAGCAGAGCAGAGACAGAAGCTGAAGTACGCAGTTATCCAAGATGGAAGCACACGAGGAGAAAAGTTTTGGTTCTCAATTATTACGTCATTAGAGCTGCGCAGGCCATAGAAATGATCTCGAAATGACGCAATCCAAAGAAGTTATTACGATTTTTAAAATAGAGAGGAAGAATTAATGTTTTACCATTAGCTTAAATTACAATTTTGATTTATATATTTTTTTATATTACATTATATGTAGAAATAGATAAAGGATTTTGTTTTGGAATGACAGCAAAAAGCAATTTGTCCCAGGTTTTTCTAATATAAAAAAAAGCTAATATTTATTTATAATATCTATAAAAATGTTATTGATTAAGATTATCAGGTATAATCAAATGGTTAGAAGAAGGATTTAATGACATGTGATTAAATATGATTCATGTAAAAACTTATTAATTTATACATAGAAAAATATTCTTCAAAAAATAATTTAAAATAAAAATACAGAGTGCTTACTAACTTCAAGCAATAGATATCAGATTCAGGTGGAAATGTAGTGGGACACCCAATGTTTACTATAAGTAATGTAGGTATAGTCCCACTACACTTCGGTTTATTTTTAAAGTTAATATTAAAAAAAATACATAGTATAATATAACACATAATATAACAGTATAAATAGTATATCGCTATTTTGATTGATATCATATCTAAAGCAATAGATATCAATAGACCCACTGGTAAGTATGTAGGTTTAAAATTATTTTTATGCATTTGTGATGCATCGGCCGATAAACGAACTCTGATCGTCGGCGCGGCAGGTAAGCATTCTCCTCATCGAGCCACCAAACTGTTGCTGAAATCATTTATAAAGTGTAATAGGAAAGGATTCACTCAACTCATTAGATATGCGAAAGTTAAAGGCCTGCTGCGTAAGCTGTATTTCGCTCCATATAGTTTTCAACAGCCAAAAAGTCAACGAAACTCTTCCTAAGGGTTTCTTTAGAAATTTTCTTTCTAAAATATTCTTTCTTCCTGAGATCTTTAAATCTTTTTTTCAGACTTACGCCGCTCAGGGATAAGCTTCCAAGCGATGCTTTTAGGCGTGATAACTTCTCTCAATGTTGAATTTTTGATATTTTTGAACCATTCGAGTATTTCACAGGTGCTGCGAAAACATTTTACGTTATTTGAATGTTGTCATATCTGAGACAACTTCAATTTACAAAGCTCCGTGTTTTTCAAGTTTTGATTTATCCACAGGAATGTTTGAAAACAGGTGATAAGCTTTCTACAAACGTCCCCATAATCAGATATGGCCATAGCTAACTCATTTTTAGGGAATAATTTATATAGTTATAAGTTTATAGTCTTTATTAAATTAATTTTGATAACACCATCAGTTTTCCATCAAATATTTAAAGAAATACGAACGCAGAAAACGTAATAAAAGAGTTAAAATGACAAATTATATTATCAGTCTCGCAAATTACATTAATAAAATACAGTTTGAATTTACGTAAAGCTAACGGGCTTATTTTAAAATAAATAAAATCTTAACAAGCAAATGATAAAACACATTGTACACCAGTCTGTTACGGCTAAGGTACTCAACCTACAATTTTACTTAATGGAAGTTAATAAATACTTAAAACTAGTTAAAGTAAGTTTGTGGCATATCAGCCGAATTTAACTAATCAGTTTAGTTTCAGTTTACATCTGTCCTCTGTGCCTTATTTCTTCACGTACTCAATCTAGAGAATTCTGTAGATTTGAGAAGCAAGCAGTTTAGGAATTAGAGAAATAATTCTAACCGTATGAGTAAATTAGATCAATATGCGGTTGTGTGCCCGTGCCTCTTGCCTGTTTTACTTAGCGAACACAACTACTCCAGATAATTAGAATTTGTAGATAATTAATCTCGGTGGCAGGTTAACAATAATTTCAGATTTTTATTTTGTCCCCTCCAGCTGGCAGGAACCCTGATAAGGAATAATTTAGATTTTCAATTAAAATACGTTTACGATCAGATTGCTCCTCTGTGAGATCCAGGAAACTGGTTATTTTGATTTGTCCTCAAAAATGGCGAAGTAGAAAAAACTCAAGTCATCTATTTTTTTTTTTTTTTTGTCTTTTCACCATTTAGTTGAGCTATCAATAGTAACTCATATCCTAGCTTGACGAGTAGATAGCCTTGACGAGTACGAGTTAGACTTGGGAATAGTTAGTATCTAGAATTAAACTTTTCAATTGTTATAAGTTTATATTTAAAACTTACATATGGATATAAAACATTGCTTTTGAATCTTTTCCTAGAATTCAACAGTGGTCACGGAAGCATTGGATGCTGGTTCAACTGTTCTGAATACGTGATATTTGCTTTTGTAAATGTACAATTACAAAGTCTTTAGCTGAATTACTTTTACTTACTTGTGCGAAGTAAAGGAAGCATTTCAATCGCGAAAAACTTCGGTTTTCAGATTTCAGTGGAAATATTCATTTTGATCTTTCCCGAATCCAGTTTGATTAGTTGCATTGTGGCGTCTGTATGTATATGTTACGGTGAAACACCGAAATTGGATAATGTCCACTTTCACCGGCGAATGTCAACATTCACCTAGTCGCTTGGTGTATGTCCGAAATATTTTCAAAATACTCTTATTTCTGACTTACACCGGTAAATGTCGACATTCACTATGTACTAATGGTGAATGTTGAACGTATAAGAATATTATATTTTCTTCTCCGTAATTCAGTGGCAAAAAAACGCACTTGAGACTTAAAATAAGAACTTAAGAATATATGAAATTAAAACACACAGTACATTCAAAATGAGAAAGAAAAATAATAGAAGTTAAAAACTTACTTAATTATACAGGACGTTCTAAATGAGAAAATAAAATAACAGTAATAAAAAACTTACTAAATTATGTGATTCAAATCTTATTTATTGCAACAACTTAAACTGTTATGTCACTTTCGATTGCATAAGAGGCCCTTGCTTTTACAACTGCATTTATTTTTGGAACACTTCCTTTAGCAACGACAGCGTGTACATATACTCCTCTCTTTTCGACCTACACCAGAGCATATCTGTGATTGTCGACATACACGGGTGAGCGTCCGAATGTATAAGAATGTAATGCAATATTCGATCTTTCACCGACGTATTTGGTGAATGTTGACATTCTCCGATGAAAGTCGACATTCTCCAATTTCGGTCTTTCACGGTAACATATATATTTCGCATAACTCAAAACGATTCACCTTAAAATATTGAAATGTTTTATTTGGGACTCGGTTTCTATTTATCGGAAATATTTTATTTGTGACTCGATTTTTATTCGGTACAGTTTTGGCATAACGTCTGTACGTACCCCTATATATCTCACATAATGCAAAAACGATTAGCCGTAGAATTTTGAAATTTTGTATATGGAACAGCTTTAACATCTAGTTGTGCACCTGTCCTTTTTTTATTGTAATCAGCAGTGCCAAAAAGGCATTTTGAATGGAAGCTCGTATCTCACTTTCAAATAAAATAACCTTTAATTAAGTGCAGCAAAATATGTGTATAATTTAATAGGTGTTCAAGGAAGTCATGTGGTATTCATATTAGAGTTTTTTCCTCTATACTACTAAGAACTTAATATTAACTAGTTCGCACCCTTAAAGCATGCGATAATGGAATAAAGTTCTACGATGATGACTTCAGAATTTAGGTGATGAGCCAAGATTAATAAATAATCAATTAAGAGACATGAAACTAAATCAACTATGAAGAATCAGAAATATTATATAATAATCATACCTTTAGACAACAGAACTGTAACGAAGCTGTCTTTCCTTGTAGCTCCTGCAGTGCTAGTAATTATGCAGGTATAAGTGGCAGACGCCCTAGCAGACTGGATGAGTATTCGACTACCAGCAGGAAACAAATCTTCAACCATTTCAGGCTCGGCTGAAGGATTAAGAATGCGTCCATTTTTTAACCAGTTATAACCAAAACTTCCATACATATCGTCTTGAGAGAGGCACGTGATGACTACCCGATCTCCTTGGTTAACTGTTGAGGTGATAGGTGTTACATGAGGCTGTGGAACTGTCACAACTGCTACCTGGATACTCTTGTTCTGAATAGTTCCCCAATCCGATACTTGGCAGGTGAACTCACCTGGATCAAATCAGAGAATATGCTGTTAATAATAATGGAAATAAGTACAATATAGAATCTACTTTCATAAATTTGTAACTATTCAGTTATATACATTTTAATGTGTTGGGAAATTTGCATTACTTCTTGCGCTTACGCAGTACTGAGAAGGAAAAGAAGTGACATTATTTAATCGCTAGTGTAAGCCTGTAATGGACTCACATGATTCTAGTTTATGGTTCCCGCCCGTCGTGGTACGGTAGTGTAAGAGTCTATTAGATTATGAAGTTCAATTACTGGCCTATATCTTCTTTGTAGCAATGCATCGAATCATATTCAAATACCTGCCGATGGACATAACATAATGTGTAGAATACTGACGAATATGACACTGGAGATTCATGATCAACCAGCAGTTGATACCTGCCTATCTCATTGTTTTTTCATGGTAATAGGTTGACACACATGTGTCCATTTAGCCTGTTAAGTCTTAAGAAAAGACTCAGTAAAATATTATGTTATAGACTTTATAACCAGAGTTCCCCATCAGCAACATTTTGCTATATATCTATGAACATATGCGAGGTTCAACTATTTATTTTTAATTAACAGTTAATTTTAAGTTGGCACTTTCCTATTAATTTCTTTTCACCCATACTTTTCAAGCCAGAATGTAAATGATGAGACAGCGAGCGTTTATTCAGATTAAGGTAGAGAGAATGCTATTTAAGCAAGAGTTTCGGAAGTTAGTTTTAGATCACCTCTTTAATTGGAGAACTCTCATCTTTAGACTTCATCTTATGTCAGGCCCAGTCCGGTTTCTCTGAGGATACTGGCAAGAGCAGGAACGAATCATTCTGCTGAATACCAGGAAAAACACCGAAGTATCAAAGTTAGAGCGTGTCTGCCTATTCCAGATCACTTTGTGCTGTGATTATTAGCGATTTGATTTTATGGCGTTAAATGCTTCTAACCACTTGGCTTTATCTCGCCGGTTTTATACAAATCAGAAGCTTTCCTTCACGTCAAATTATCCTGTGAGCCGTTAGGCTAATCTGTCACATTTTGAAATTGTTCAAAGTGCGTATTTATGACAAGCCAAAAGTGCTTGGCTTGTATAAACCCAAGCTGGGTAACTGTTAAGTTGTGTTCGTATAGAAAGGTCCTTATACACCCTTTTACTGACTTTTGTTTTTGTTTCACTAGACTAGAAGATAGTTCTTCAACAGTCTTTTTAGTCTATAGTGTATGCTCGCTAAAAGACATAGACTTTATACATAAACAAAATGAAGGAATTAAATGAATGAATAAACAAGAATTTGTTTGCTTATCTTCAACTTCCAATTATTCATGTTAATTTGCACAGATAGCGCTAAAATATAATTAATCAGTAAAAATGGTATTGAGAAATTTTAATAAATGCTCAGGTATCATAAACATTAACGTATCAGAAGTATTTAATGAATGATAAATAAAGCAAAACGTACATATATTTTTAGTTTTTGGGTGAAATAGTTGTTATATTTCTTTTACAGAGTTGAGAGTTTAACATCTACTATGCATTTTCCAAGTTGATTCTTTATATTACTGCAGGCACTGTGTAAAGCTATGTTAACATTAAATTCGTACGCATTTTATTCATTCATGCAACACAATTTTCTGTCGATATATTCGAAAGCCCCCACGCAGGCAAAATTGCTGTCTCATCTTTATCTTCATTAAGCTATCTGAAATTTTTTACAGATTCTCCTTGAGGTATTGCAACAAAAATGTGTTAGTCTAACAAAGACTTTCTCGTTAGGCCAACATATTTTTCGTGCAATTATTGCGCTTGTCTTTCATTATCAAAACTTTTGCACTTTCTTGAAGCATTTTCAAACATTTGAACATCAGATTAAGGGAACATTTTGTTTGAATTCGTAAGGGTTTTAAGCGAAACTTAACGCTGCTGCTACTTCATTTATTACAACAGAAATTTCTTATTTTCACGATATCAGAAATAAGTATTTTTCTGGTGTTAAACTAAGGTTAAATTCTTATATATTCATTGTGAGCTTTAGCAGTGACATTTACTACCACAAAAGTCTTGGGTAAATGTTAAATGATAAATCGGCGAAAACATCCTTGATTCATTTCGAATATTCATACATTTAATACATTCAGACATTATCCATACATTTTATACATTCATTCCCTAATTCCGTCCATTTCATACATTTTCCTACATTCGTTTCTTTAATAAAAAAGGCATAATTATTTTTGTGCAACTTTGATTTTTCTTTACGTAATTCTCATGTTTCATACTTTGTCAAAAACGCCAGACATTCTACGAAATGTCGAGGTATTTTGTAGAATGCCGGCGTTTCATATATTGCCTGAAACATATAATTTCATTTTAAATAACAAGTTATTTTTATTCTAATACTGTGTATTTTTTACTCTGGGGATGTTTAACGAAAAGCAAATTAGTTTGATTTTAAACAAAGAATGATTATATCACTGAGAAGCAGTACAGATGCAGGCAGTGTAGTAGCTTTTAGCCTGGGAAGAAAAGCCTTCCAAAAATCAGTTAAACGTAAGTGAATTTAAACAATAATTTAAATGGTAAGTGAATTTTATATCTATTACAGCATAAAGTTAGAATTACCATTGATGGAGCCCAGTTAATAGGTGAAGATTAAATTTTATGTTTTACAAGTTTAAACATCCGACTTAGTGAAATTCCGTAAATAATGGCGGCTAGTATATGTAAATTTTTAGTTGTACATCAAGACGTAGTTTTCGAAAAATTATTTAGTTTTACCCAGTCCAGGTCCAACATATTCGGCGACCTGCATACCTGGCGTCGTGTATAAATTAAACATATTAATAATTCAAAGCAAGAAATATCTTAATTTATTTGTCGCTTGTCACAGAAAAACTTAGTTGGCCCCTTCCGAGAAATCAGCACTGTAGGCGTCTGCCTCTGTCGCCTATGCTTGGAGCCGATTCCAGTCTCATTTCTATGAAATTATTAAAAATTATTTAAGCACTTGAGTTGCGAAGGCGAGAATTCATTGGACCAAGAGCGATTAATTAAGTGCAGTTATACAAGAAATCAGATATAACCTTAACTAGTGCCCAACTAAAAAATTTAACAAAAATTGTAGCATTGTAATAATATGTATATAATTCGCGAAATTCTATTTAATGAACTTAAAATTCTTTATAACGTACTTTAATTTAATTAACCAATTATTATGATTTGAACCTTTGCTCTAACTTCCTCTTTCCATATTCGTCACCAGAATACAAATCAATTGCATGCATTTTAAGCTGAGGGTTTTGAATGTTTAGATGAGAGCTTCTGGCAGCCGCGTCTTGCGGCTACTTACTCTCGTCAGCACTGCCTAAAGTTATATTCCGGGCTTAGAGTCTTGCTAGCCATTGTTTTAAACTAGCGCCGGTTAAATTCTCAGCTATCTTAATTAGTCTATTTTATAGGTATCCTGTGACTACGTTGCCTGAAACTAAATTTAGCTTCTGTTATGCTGATTTAAATACCCGTAAGATAGCGGGAGTTCGTTCCTGCACAAGCTATATCTCTTCTGTTCCTTTTTTTAGGACTAAATAAAAAGGTTATTTTAAGCTTCTTCAGCATTTGTAAGTTGTTAAAGACGGTAACGATAACCCGCTACTGGCCTAACAGGACTTAAGCTTCTAGTTACAGTAGAGTTCTACAAATTATTGGATAACTTTGAGTTCTTTATAACTAATGATATCGCGGGTAATTTTGACTATTCTAATTTAATGATATTTGATCTTATGAGGATGAACGTTTTTATTCATTCTGTTATGAAAACTACTTTTTTCATTGAAATATTTATCACGTGATTCATTATTATCTCAGTTTGAAGTTCACTCCATTCAATTAATTTCCTAAAGTAGAAATACGAGTTTACGATCAGCTGCTCTAGAGATATTTAATGATGCAATCGTTTGGAAATATCCAGCATTCTGAATTCTGGTTAGGTTAGGATATTTGAATATGTCAAATCCTCGAGGGTTTGTAGGGTTTATATTTATTTTAACTAACATTTATTTTAAGCTATCTTTCCTGTCAAGCCTTACTTTCCCCTGGAATTGCCAGTGCCAGAGTATGTAAATTTTAGTAGAACGCGCAAAGTATTCAAATTTTAAGCAGAAGTAATTTGAGTTAAATAGAAGGGAAACGAGTTCGAAACTGTGCTTTCTTGCTTCACGAGCGTGAAGGTGGCTAGGTAGAAATTGAAGAACCGCGCGTTTCGGCCTGTGTGCTTGTCTCGGCAGATAGTTGAATCTTTCAACTTAATATTCAGAAAGTTTGCTGAAATATCAGCTGTATCTTAGAACGCGGTTAGGTTAGTTACGTTTAGAGAGCCTCGTAGGTAGTAACTTGTTATTATTCACTTTTAGTTTCTTATTTTTATTTTACCGCCGGATCGGCGTAGTTTGTGAGGGTCAAGTGCACGCATCTGTAACTTCTAAAGTAGAATAAAAAGGGAGTTAAACCCTTCTTAAGAGTTTTGTGTACTTTCCAGTTCATAGCAGTCACTATTATTCTTGCGTGTAGGTTGGGGCCGCGCAATACCACAGGTTAACTGCTCAAAAGGAGGGATGACTTTGTAGGGAATTTTCTGAGGAAACCTGGCTCGTATTCACGTTACAAATGCAGAAAAACTCGAAAATCAAGCATACAGCTAGGCCGTTCGCCTGAGCTTAAACTTTCGAACTATCAGTACTTAACGACCTTAGCCACTCGTCAACGGTGGGGCCATTCTGAATTCCAATATCATTCCAAATATCGATTCTTGAATTTTAGGATATTTGGAATTATGATCCAAAATATACAAATTAGATTATAATCAGATATATTTTAAGTTTGCAAGAGAAATTCGATTACAAAATATTTTTTAAGTTCAAAAAATTATAAAATGAGAATTAAAAAAATTATTCTCAAGCACTAGTATTGGATTAAATAATTGGGACAAAGTACACTAGGA